CCTATCGCACTACAAGGGAACAGTGTTTGCAGTTATACTCATGCTATACAATCATCTCCTTCACAGGAAAAATTGACATAGTTTGATGGCACGGCAATCCGACGCGAACGGAGAGAACATGGGAAATATACTTGTGATGCAATGAATTTATATAAAAATATATAGTCATGTATCTTTTTTATTAATTTAGGCTTTATTTGCATACCAGGTAAAAAAGGGCTTAAGTTTGCCTTTTTGTACCTACATTAAGTCTGCAACGAAGCCTTCTCCACCAGTCACCCTCCAGGCTAAGCAGAGAACCCAGAAAGAGTCGCCCCAATCGTAAGGTGGTATACTGGTGGTCAGCAGAAATCAAATGACTCCGTGAGATCTGTTTGTGAAATCGACGCCATAACACCAGAGCCCGAAGGAGGAGAAGGCGAGCTCCACTTGAGGAGATAGCCAGACTCTATGGGACATACTGCGCCATTGCCAACGCTAGGTCTCGGTCCTGGAATGAGCTCCTGGAGGGACTCAACTAAGATGGAGGGGTTCCTGGGGTCGCCCATACATAATGGTGCTGAGTAAGCTCCAGCCCTAGTCGCGTCCCTTGACCGAGACTCTTGATCTGAACCTGCTGATGGTAATCAGCACGCTCTTCCCAGAGGACCGGTCAAGTGCCTCAAAGCACCCGCGATCATAATGGGAGTGACAATATGAGTTGGTGGTGACTATGGAGGAGCTGGACCGAGCCGATAGCCGCTTAAGAGCTCGAAACACTGTACCGGGACCCGACAGTATCCCGGGTCGAGCCCTAGTGCCGAGTATGGCTGCCCCGGGGGACATGCTTAGGTAGATGTTTACCTCTGCGTGCCAAGTTCCCCACCGCGTGAAACGAGACGAGGTTGGTCCTATTGAAGAGGGAAGGCAGGGCCGCCGATTCTCCCTTCCTCAGCGTACTGTCCCGTATGCCTCTTGGACGAGATTGGCAAATTATTCGAGAGAATAGTTGCCACTCGGCGCAGTGGACATCTGTCACACGTCGCGCCCAATTTGGCTGATAGCCAGTTTGGATTCCGATGGGAGCGTTCTACAGTCGATGCCATCATGCGCGTCCTCTCCCTATGATAACAAGCAGAATCCCAGGTGGTGTGGCGTTGGGGTTAAATTTCGATATCGTCAACGCCTTTAACTTTCTACCCTGGGATGTTATCAGAAGAGAAGAGCACTGGTACACCATCAGGTGCCCCCTACCTGCAATTTATTATCGAAGACTACTTGCGTGACAGGTACTTCCTGTAAATGAGACAAGATGATAGTAAGATCCGAAAGGAGAGCAAACATGGGATTCTTCAAGGCTTGGTAATAGGGTCACTACTGTGCAATCTCGCCTATGATACGGTTCTGCAAGTTGACCTTCACGCTGGCGTAGATATCGTTTACTTTGCCAGCGAGGTCACCTTCGAGAAGGTCAAGGAGCTTGCCGAGCTAGTTTCTTCGACCCTAGCTCGGCGAGCTCGGCTTCATCGTCGCCAAAATCCACGAGTTGGGATTAGAAATAGCGCCTCACGAGACCAAGGCCCTATGGTTCCATAAATTACGACGCGGCATGGAACCACCCGACTCGTGTGACTGTGTGGGTGTGTCTGAAATCAGAGTGGATGGGTACATTGTTGAAGCAATCCCGCCGTTATTTGAAGCCTCGATGCATCAACGAACAGGAAGACTCAGCTACAGACTTACACAGATAATTAACCTATCCCTGTCAGCAGTCGTGTCGGTCTTACATAGTAGGAGATAACCATGACATAGTATTATTTGCAGATGACACTTCTTTAATTTTCAAATTAAACTGAGAATTATTAAAATATGACGAAGTAAATAATGCTATATCTAAATTAGTGAATTGGTTCAATGTTAATAATTTGCATTTAAATGGCACTAAAACGTAATGTATGAAATTTATGACTCCAAATGTCAAACAATTAAATACTAATGTAATTTTAAATGGGGAGAAACTGAGTCTTGTAGATACCACCATTTTTCTTGGAATCACACTAGACGCGAAGCTTCAATGGAGCCCCCATATATCAAAACTAGCAAGCAGACTTAGTTCTGCAGCATATGCCGTAAAAAAGATTAGAAATCTAACTAGTGTTGAAACAGCTAGACTAGTTTACTTTAGCTATTTCCAAAGCATAATGTCGTATGGTATTTTGCTATGAGGACACGCAGCTGACACTGAAATTATATTTCTTTTACAGAAGAGGGCCGTAAGAGCAATTTATGATTTAAAGCCTAAAGAGTCGCTGCGACAAAAATTTAAGGAAATTAATATATTCACTTTGGCCTCTCAATACATTTATGAAAATGTAATTTAAGTACACAAAAATAAAAGTAGTTTTACAAAAATGAGTGATATTCATTCTGTAAATACTAGGAACAGACACAACCTAGTAGTACCAGTTACTCGACTCCATCGAGTCAGTAATTCATTCTTGGGGCGACGTATACGCTTTTACAACAAAATTCCAGAAAATATACAAAATTTGACCTGCTCAAAGTTCAAAAACTTTATTAAACTAGGTTTGTATAAAAAGGGTTATTATAATATTAATGAATTTATAGATGATAATAACCCCTGGAAATGAGGTGATCGCTACCAAGCTATTTCTAATTTGTTGTGTTGTTAATTTGTGTAACATACATGATTGAAAGCTGTTATTTAAAAAAAAGTCCCACTGGGTTTCTTGCTGGTTCTTCCCAGGACAGAGGTTTTTTTTCGAACCAGTGGTAATTATACAAAAGAGTGACTTTCAATAAGTATTATTTATAATCTATGATATATATCATAGATTATAAATAATACTTATAATCTATGAATAAAAAAGTTTCTGTTTCTGGTGATGCTACGCAGGGACTTGGCGTGGAGGGCTTTAGCCGTCTTCGGTGAATCCATTAATTACGGTTGAGAAGGAGCCTGCGGAGTGGTGTCGGGAGAGGACAGATCCCCATAGGAAATGACGTCTTCAAGGCGTTCGTCACGATAATGTGTATCCCCCTTTGATGATGATGTTCCCCTACTGTTCTCTGGGGTTATGGGAGCTTGGGCGAGGGGTTCGAACGTCGAACAATGTAACAACCCCCGAGGGACTCGGATGGTGACTCGGAAGTGGAAGGACTGCCCCCGGGACGTATTATACGACGTTTAATAAAGCAAAGCGAGAGAAGAGCACCAATTGCGTTCCGAACGGAGATCCCGGGACCTCTCATATACGCTGATGGTGATCACCGTGGGATTTTACCTTTCTGTTGTCCTCGCAGCCGAAGGTATCCATGAAGATTTCCCCCACAAATTCACGCAAATAAAAGTTAAGCAGAGAAGATATTATAGATGCGGAGTGTAAACGTTAAAATGTCTAATGTTCACATAATATATTTATGCATAATAACTTGTGGCCGGTAGAAGGAAAAGGGGAGATCTCCCGCCGGGCAAGGTGTTCCGCTCGGGGAGCGGCCAACGCTCCGAGTCGTAGTTCAGAGCTATTCTATATACCTAGTCAGGTCATAAGTATTGTCATACAGTAAAAACTTTTCTTTTAGAATGCTGGCCTCAAAAAAGTTTATTGAATTCGAATTTCGAATTGTTCATGAAAATAAAACTGTATACTTTTTAGAATTTTACTCATTTTTAAATATGGAGTGGACGCTTAAAGAAGACCGTGTTGCAGTTATTGCGTTGCATCGTTGCGGTTACGCGCCAATTCAAATTTTTGACATACTGAAAAATATGAATATAACCAAAAGATTCGTTTATAGTACCATCAAACGATACAATGAAGACTCTAGTGTAGATGACAGGTCAAGAAGTGGTCGCCCTCGGTCTGTTAGGACTCCAGCAGTGATAAAAGCTGTGAAGGCGCGAATTCAAAGAAATCCCAAACGTAAGCAGAAACTGTTGGCCCTTCAGATGGGGTTAAGCAGAACCACGGTGAAAAGGGTGTTAAATGAAGACTTAGGGCTTCGGGCATATCGAAGAAAAGCAGGACATCGTTTGAATGCTCGTCTAATGGACCTGAGACTGAAGAGATGCCGCGCTTTGTTGAACCGGTACGCGGGAAAAAAATATCGGGAAATTCTTTTTTCGGATGAAAAAATTTTTACCGTAGAAGAGAGCTACAACAAACAAAATAATAAGGTGTACGCATACGCATATAGTGAAGAAGCGAGCAACCGTATTCCGCGTGTCCAACGAGGTCATTTCCATCCTCGCTCATGGTATGGTTGGGAGTTTCTTATTGGGGCTTAACAGAGGTACATTTTTGTGAGAAAGGTGTAAAAGCGAATGCAGTTGTGTATCAAAATACAGTCCTGACGAACCTTGTGGAACCTGTTTCTCATACCATGTTCAATAACAGGCACTGGGTATCCCAACAAGATTCGGCGCCAGCTCATAGAGCGAAGAGCACACAAGACTGGCTGGCGGCGCGTGAAATCGACTTCATCCGGCACGAAGACTGGCCCTCCTCCAGTCCAGATTTGAATCTGCTAGATTACAAGATATGGCAACACTTGGAGTAAAAGGCGTGCTCAGGAGGCTTTGGCCTCATCCCAATTTGAAGTCACTCAAGACATCCTTGATTAAGGCAGCCGCCGATATTGACATGGACCTCGTTCGTGCTGCGATAGACGACTGGCCGCGCAGATTGAAGGCCTGTATTCAAAATCACGGAGGTCATTTTGAATAAACTTTAGTGTCATAAGAATCTATGTTTTGTTAAGTTCATTTTGGTATATAAATGGTTATATAATGAATAAACTTGTTTCAATTATTTTATATTAAACATGTGACAGAATTTATGACCTGACTAGGTATACTGCTTTAACTTCGGAACTTTGTTAGAGCGATTTAGGGTTCGATATGTTTCGCTTATTGCGCGACGACAGCACAGCCACAAACTATAACTATAAATGTATATGTTACTTTCTTATTCTTCGAAAAAATAAGAGACAGCACCGACCTGGAGGTAATACGGCAGCATCATGGTGAGCACGGTGGCGATGCTGAAGTAGGAAGCGAAGATGATCGCGAGCGAGAGCATGATGGAGAGCGGGATGTCGCGGCGCGGGTTGCGCGCCTCCTCGCCGGTGGTGGCGACGCAGTCGAAGCCCACGAAGCCGAAGAAGCACTTGGCGGCGCCCGCCATCACGCCCGCCACGCCCCACGGCGCGAAGCCGCCCGCGCCCGCGCTGTCCCGCACGTCCTCCGGGATCTCCGACTGCGGGATGCTCCAGTTAGCGGGGTCGCCTGCGCAAAACATACTCTTTTTACTTATCTTCACGCACAATCCCTGACGGGGTAGCCAGAGAGAACAGATCGCCAAGTGTCACGATCCTTACAAACCTCTTTCGCTTCTTTCAGATTCATTATCTTCTTCATGCATGCACGTCTAGGTATCCGAGTACTCTTGACCCTACCCTCTTCGAGCAATTTATATACTCTTTTTAGAATAGAATAAATGTTATTCAAAAAAATATTATTATAACTATTATTACAGCCATTCACAAGCCCACTACTGAACGTAAGACTCACCCAAGAAATACTACAAAGTACGGTTCTGAGCCACCTGCTTCCGGATGGATGGATCTAGATGAAGTGACAACCTGGTAAGATATGTACGAAATTGATACTTCCTGTATCTCGTACCAGCTTGTCACTCCTTCTAGTAGGGGACCGCCCTACACTTCGTTTACTGGTACGAGGCTACCACACGAGAACCTTTCTTCCCCAGTGGTTATCGGTTCTGCGAGTTATATAGCTGGCGCATTGCCACTTCAGCTTACTAATCTTTTGGGCGTATATTATATATCTATCTCTGTTACTCTGGTTCTACTGTGGATATCCTCATTTCTAAATCTATCACGCAGAAAAAAACAAGGGCTATGGTTATGGGAGGTATGGCTCGCTGAGCGACCTTGAGCTTCCTTTTACGGTCAGCAGTGAAGGACCAATTCTCAGATCTATAAATCATCACTGGCAACACGGCCTGGTTGTTCAATCTTATTTTCAAGTTATGAGATATACCTGACAAAAAGATGTGTCGTAAATAAATGAAAAATACATAAATAAATAAGAGATAGAAGCCTTCAGCACTGAAGACGAAACGGCAAAGGGTTATGTTATTTTTATTCAGCTGTTATAAAAAAGATTCCAGCTCACCGCCTATTTTAGTGTCCCGCTGTGTCTCTTACGACTCCCACTGGACGATATGGTGTAGTTTGATATTCTTATTTTTTTTTATACTTATATACTTCACAAAGTAAATCAGTATTAGCAGGTATGTTGTAGCATGAACAGGATGGCTCAACCGAGGAAGGGCCACACTCTCACAGAATACCAGTGTAAAATAAGAGTATAATGGTGCTGTGTTTCGTATGGTGAGTGTAGAGAACTGGCGACCCTTTTCACTGGAAACAAGGCATTCCATCTTAGTCCTCACGGGTGACAACGCATCTGCATTTTGATTTGTAATCGAGGATAAACGTAGATGTCTATGTACCGCAGCAACCACTTACCATCAGGTGGACTGTGTGCTCGTTTGTCACCCTTATCCTATAAAACATACTTTTTACTGAAAAGGAGGCATTTCATCATATTCCTCAGGGGTGACAACGCATCTGCATTTTAATTCTTAGTCGAGGATAGATGTAGATGTCTATGGGTCACAGCATTCACTTTCCATTAGCTATAATGTCCGCACGTTTGTCACCCTTATTTTATAAAGAAATAACTTCACACACGTCAAATTTTTCCATTTGAAAGAGTATATAATATATGTAATATAATATATATAGTAATCTTAGTATCTTTTCTTACTTTTAATAGCCCCAGCGATTACCACAACTAGAACAGTGACCATATTGATAACCGTGAAAATGTTGTTCAATTTGGTAGACTCCTTAACTCCGACTCCGAGGAGAACTGAAATAAAATGAATCCAGTTTTAGGTAAAAATGGGCGAAAATTTTCGTTGAAGTCATCTTTTAGGTCATATTTTGTTACATTACAGGCTCTGTGATAAAAAGCCTAAAAGGAACTATCACTAAAGTTGTCCAATATTCAATAAAACTATTTTTACGGATTTTATCGCATTTAATTTTTACTTATTTTTAATTCTCGACGTTTCGGGTGCTTTACCCATGGTCATAGTGGGACTGAGGTGATTTATGTCTCGATGTCAAAGTTAATCCGAATTACTTTTACCTTTGTAATCATAAATCAAAATAAATTAATTTTGGTCGGATCTACGTAGAATGAGCTTACTGTTTCTTGAAGTCTTGCGGTGGTGTGCTTGGGTTTAGCATTAATTATAGAATCCTAAGCAGATGGTAGCACCCAGCCATCTTCTTTATTGAAATTAGGATGTTTTTTTTAATTTCAATAGCCTCGCGAAACATCCTTGGTTGCCAGTACAGACGTAGTACAACATCCAGCAAAATGCATGATTTACTAGGAGGTAGTACAACATCCAGCAAAACGCATGATTTACTAGGATGTATTACAACATCCAGCAAAATGCATGATTTACTAGGACGTAGTACAACATCCAGCAAAATGCATGATTTACTAGGACGTAGTACAACATCCAGCAAAATGTATGATTTACTAGGACGTAGTACAACAACCAGCAAAATGCATGATTTACTAGGACGTAGTACAACATCCCGCAAAATGCATGATTTACTAGGACGAATTACAACATCCAGCAAAATGCATGATTTACTAGGACGTGGTACAACATCCAGCAAAATGCATGATTTACTAGGACGTTGTACAACATCCAGCAAAATGCATGATTTACTAGGACGTAGTACAACATCCAGCAAAATGCATGATTTACTAGGACGTAGTACAACATCCAGCAAAATGCATGATTTACTAGGACGTAGTACAATATCCAGCAAAATGCATGATTTACTAGGACGTAGTACGAGGAGTACTCTACTTCTGTGCAGGAGGCCGTTTGGGTTGGTATCATCACCCACTCACCTATTTCTGCCAACAAGTGCGGGCGCTGCTGTCCTCGGGCCTGAAGGTTATACAGAGTCAGTACAATTACAGGCTGTGATGAATTCCATCTTAGTCATCAGAGGTGACATCTGTAGTCTTCTTTGTTTGAAGTTGTAGTTTTCCGGACCGATACAACTTAGGGACCTTCAAGGAAAGAGCCTACTCCTTTTTAAAAGGTTGGCAACGCATCTGCGATTCCCCTGGTTCCCCTGGTGTTGCAGTTGTTCAAGGGCGGCGGTAGTCACTTACCATCAGGTGAGCCGCATGCTCGTTTGCCCCCTCTCCTATAAAAAAAAAGTTGACTGTAGATGTCCATGGACAGCGGTGGCCACTTACCATCAGGTGAGCCGCATGCTCGTTTGCACCCTCTCCTATAAAAAAAAAGTTGACTGTAGATGTCCATGGACAGCGGTGGCCACTTACCATCAGGTGAGCCGCATGCTCGTTTGCACCCTCTCCTATAAAAAAGAAGTTGACTGTAGATGTCCATGGACAGCGGTGGCCACTTACCATCAGGTGAGCCGCATGCTCGTTTGCCCCCTCTCCTATAAAAAAAAGTTGACTGTAGATGTCCATGGACAGCGGTGGCCACTTACCATCAGGTGAGCCGCATGCTCGTTTGCACCCTCTCCTATAAAAATAAAGTTGACTGTAGATGTCCATGGACAACGGTGGCCACTTACCATCAGGTGAGCCGCATGCTCGTTTGCACCCTCTCCTATAAAAAAAAAGTTGACTGTAGATGTCCATGGACAGCGGTGGCCACTTACCATCAGGTGAGCCGCATGCTCGTTTGCACCCTCTCCTATAAAATAAAAGTTGACTGTAGATGTCCATGGACAGCGGTGGCCACTTACCATCAGGTGAGCCGCATGCACGTTTGCACCCTCTCCTATAAAAAAAAAGTTGACTGTAGATGTCCATGGACAGCGGTGGCCACTTACCATCAGGTACACTTTAGTAAGTTCGTTTGTCACTTCGATTTAATATAAAAAAAGTCGTACTCATCATTATGTCACGTATAAAAACCGTGTTAACTATCCAAAGACCTTCATAACTTTTAATGAAGGTCTTTGGATGTAATTTGTTTTGGCAAAGTGAAGTTAAAATGTTATAGATTACTTTTACATTTGGGTATTACAGAAAACGGTGAAAGAGATATTTTTCATCATCACCATAACTACAGGGTATCAAAAGCCCACTGCTGAACATACGGTTTCCCCATAGATTGCCTAATAGGAAGGGTATTTGCCATACTTACCACCCTTGGCATGCGGATTGGTAACTTAGTTTTTTTATTATTTTGTACTGCAATAAGGAAGACGCCGCTGGCCACCTCCTGCCCGGCTAGTATGGGCGGGGGACAAAAATTTTATCCCCCGATTATATCCACTGACAAAAGATAAAATTATCTTGTTATGTCAAACGGCGAGAAGTATATCCCCGTTTGACATAACGAGTAGACATATATCCCCCGTCCGTAGCATGGAGCGAAATGAAAGATAAAAAATTATACCTTTTTGACATTTGAAAGGGACAATTTTATCCTAGTTCATTGGACGTGGGTTTAAGTTTATATTCATACAAAAAAAAATCTATCTAAGTCTGAGTCTATCTCCCAATTTATCTACTGTGGATATTATATCCACCGGTGTGCCCATGCTCTAAGGGTGGATAAAATCAAGCGAGGTGTAAACATTTTCTCCTTTCCCCGGGGATAAAATTGTTCCCCGCCCATGCTAGCCGGGCTGATATAGTGTAGCGGATTCTAGTACGTCGCTTCTAAATGGCATATATTAGAGATATTTTTACGGAAATATATAATTTCGAACAATGTTTACTTACCAGTTATTAACAGCACTAGAGTGAACGCGAATAAATCCGGATAATCAGCGAGAAACGATACATTGATCGGGGCAATAGCGGTCATAGTACGGGCCATGGTGTTGTTGCATAAGCTGTCTATGTAGTTGGCCATGCCCTTGGCAACACTGGCAGTGCCTATCACGTACTCCAGGATGAGGTTCCACCCGATCGTGAAGGCGATGAATTCTCCCACACTGACATAACTGTACACGTATGCAGAGCCCGCTTTAGGTACACGCGCCGCAAATTCAGCGTAGCAAAGACCTGGAAAAATAATTGATATTTAAAAAAATCACAATTAGATATTTATTATTGGTGATTTTTTAAAATATTCCTGTTCTCTCTTTTTATTAATATTTATTCACATAATAGAATTGGTAGATATACGATACTAAAAACTCAAATTATGAACCAATTCAACTCTTTGCAGTATAGTGCGAAGAACGCTGTCACATTCCGTCGCTAAAGCTAAGTAAATAACTATACTTAGGTATTTGGATAACGACGTTCAGAGAACCATGACGGGACACACTAAGGGCACTTTTCTTAATAATTAATAAAGAAATTATGAATAACGTAGCAACAATTTTTTTTTCGTGGTAGAGTCAAGCTGCAGTTATATTAGTAGTATAGTTGTAGCACGAATGGATCGGCTCGACCGGGGAAGGAATAGGAAGAATATTCTCACAGAATACCAGCGTAAAATAGCAGCTTAATGCTGCAGTGTTTCATATGGTGAGTGTAGAGAACCAGAGACCCTTTTTAGTGGAAAAGAGGCATTCCATTTTAGTCCTCACGGGTGACTACGCATCTGCATTATGATTCTTTATTGAGGATAGATGTGGATGTCTTTGACTCACAGCATCACTTACCATCAGGTGGACTGTGTGTTCGTTTGTCACCCTATCCTATTAAAAAATCGCGATTTTTTTATTGAATAGGGGTGACAAAAGAGCACACAGTCCATCGGATGGTAAATGGACGATGGGTCCCATAGACATCTATCCTCGATTTATCTATTTGTGTTACTACAATAATATAGCTGCAGCATGGCTCTAACATTGTCTCAGAAACCTATTATTTGATGCCATTCACAAACTGATCAGTGCGCTTAAGTGGCAATGGGTCGGCCATCAAATTCGAAGAACCGATAAACGACGAGCAAAACAAATCGGCCCATACTAATCACATTTCATTTCGACGAAAAATTCGTAATTTGTCTAGTTTAGTCAACATAATGCTTTATTTTTTACATTTAAGAAACCACACCGGCCAGTCTCTTCGCAAATGTTAAGTAGTTGGGTTCAAATTCAAAGAGCTATTGCACTAAGATATGAAGTTGAGTATCCTTGCTGCACTTAAAAGTACTTACAAACACACTCACCCTAATCCGAAAGATAGCCGACGTATCATAACGCTACGCGCTAAGACGCCGCCTACAAACGGTAGGGGTGTGCGGTGTCCACGGCCAAGTCGTATTTCTACTACAAACCCGCTTACCATAGGCACAAATATGATGTGCCTAGGACAAATCGGTTAACGAGTCCACGTCTACCGCAGTCTCGGACACGGTGAAGCAGTCTACTCTATAATGCTTTTATATATTTGAGACCATTCACAATGCTTTATTTCATAGACCGTACTTTTATATGTCTGCTATATATGGGTCTTCAAGCCTAAACTCTGATATTATAATACTTATGAATTTTAGAGACCTTCTATATTATGCTTTACGAAAAAAGGCTTTCGAGTGGCTGCCTCGTACCTTTATTGTAGAGCTAGAAGAGATACCGAGACTTGGTCGTTATCAACACGCGTTAGAGTCCACGGGCTCTAAATGACTTCGTCTATGCCATATAAAGGTACTCTGTGGCTCCTTTCACGCGCCTGGCACTGCCGCACAGATTTAGTTAGGTGTCTGTTCTAGAACGTAGTATATATTAGTTTAATGCACAAAACAAAGTTATGAACTTACCAGCAAAAGCTGACGCAATAGCTGCAACCAGAAAGCTGAGCGTCACAGCAGGACCCGCTACACTTTTGGCCACAGCGCCAGCCAACACGTACACCCCCAATCCCAACGTGCTGCCCACGCCAAGTGCGGTCAGGTCCACGAGACCCAAGCACCGCGACAGTTGTGTTGTGCTGTCGTTATCGAGGCTCTTGCAGCGGCGGAGTGCCGCGAATATTCTCGCGCAACCCATCTGAAAAAATATAATTTAATAATAAATTAACTTAATTCATTGTTCTAAGTAGATTTATCTACCTTTGTATCTCCTAACATAATAAGATAAGTCTACGTGATAGAGCCATGCTGCAGCTATATTATGGTTGTAGAACGAATGGATCGGCTCGACCGGAGAAGGACCACGCTATCACAGAATGCCAACGTAAAATAGCAGCTTAGAGAACCGGAGACCCTTTTGACTGGCAACGAAGGATTCCTTTATTTCTCAGGGGTGATAAAGCATCTGCATTTTGAATCCTAATCGAGGATAGATGTAGATGTCTTCTATTGGCAACAGCATCCAATTCTATACACATTTTTTGTTACTTGATGGTAACATCAGGTGCACTATGTGCTCGTTTGTCACCCTTATTTTATAAAAAAAAAGTTTATATAAAATGGAATTGCAACATATATCAGCAAAATACATTATGTTCATCCTACAGACCGAATTTCGGTCACGGCGGTCAGCTGAGACTAGCCATCTGTGCGGAACAGGATTGTAACGCTCTAGTGTATGTGCAAGCACAGGTGCACTCTCTATTCCCTCACTCTCATAGTCCGATGAGCAAGGCGACACCACCGGAGAGAGATCAGGCGCAGGACCAACGGCTTTACGTGCTTTCCGTGGCACGAGGGTAAGATACCGCCAACTTCCTGACTCCGGGCTGCTAGTGAGAATTTCTTGACCAGAAAAACTCAATAACTATTTATTGATGGCCCGACCCGGTATTCGGACCCGGAACCTCAGTACCACTCAATTTCCAGTAATGTTCTTGTTTTTACCATGCGGTGGGGACCTGGCGATTTGTAAAACAGACATTTCATTACCTAACTCAGACATCAGCTGCTCATATAATGAGTATGAACACATCTGTAGTAAAATATGATATAACTTTGATTATGTAAAGTCTGTTATGGTGAGGAGAGAGATAAATCATTTTTTAACGTGCTAAAGCCCCTCTGCAGCTATGCTGTGTTTAATAACAGTCTTTAACCGGGGAAGAACTTAACGCTGCTGTGTTTCGTATGGTATATTTAGGGAGTCGCAAAACTTTTTTACCCGACTGCTACACAAGGAGGGTAGTGTTTTTCGAGACGCACGCTCTGTAGACTAATAGGTCGTGGAACATATGGATCGTCGCTAGAATCTTCTTAGTTGTAGAAGTGACATAGGATATTAGACCTTTCTCTTTTCAGTATGTAAATTATTGTGCGCAGTCGGGTTTTCTTAATTACTGTTTTAATCTTTGGAATTGTTATCTTGATTGTAATGAATAGTGTTATGATTTCTTATATTAAAGACTACACATTAAATGAAACTAATTTTTACGGATTTTATAGCGTTTAATTTAACTTTATAATAATATAATTTAACTTTATAATTATATAATTAAGTTTCTAGTTTTAGTTTTTTTTTTTATTATCATAGTTTTTAATATTGTAGATAAAATTAAGTATTTTGTAAAATTGTAAATTAATACATCAATTTATAGACTTGAAAAAAAAAACTTTAACTTTTTAATTCCCGACGTTTGGGGTGCTTTACAACAACCATGGCCTCGGGGGGGACTGAGGTGTTTGACGTCCCGATGTCATAGTTAGCCCGGCTGCCTTCGGTTATTGAATATTAATTTTTAGTCCGATCTACGCACAATGAGATTACAGCATCTTGAAGTTTTGCAGTGGTATGCTTGGGTTTGGATTTAATTTTGTTAATTATAGGATCCCAAGCAGGTGGCAGAACCCATCCTTCTCTATCAATAGAATAATTTCAAAATTAGGATGTTTTTTTTAAATTCAATAGCCTCGCGAATCATCCTTGGTAGGAATTGGTGTTCTTTTGCGAGGATTTGTGGTCTATCAAATCTAATGTAATGGCGGGGACTATCTTGAACATGTTCACACACTGCAGACTTCCCGGAACGTCGGTGCTTTAAGTCAGCATAAAAGCTGTAAAGCACCCGAAACATCGGGAATTAAAAAGTTAAATTAAACGCGATAAAATCCGTAAAAATTAGTTTCATTTAATGAATAGTATTAATAAATTATTACTGGTAAGAAAAAATTCTATCTTAGTTAACAGGGGTGACAACATATCTACATTTCGACAGCTAATTGTGGATAGACGTAGATATCGTGGGCCACAGCATCGACTTTCCATCATGTTGACTGTGTGCTCGTTAGCCACAATTATTCTATAAGAAATGTCTATATTATTTTAATAAAAATCTTATGGTTTCCGATTTGTTTTTAAATTTGATTTATTTAAAAAAGTATCTACTAGGTATGCACTTTCATTAGTCTATGTTACATAACGTCTCGTAACATGTAGCACGACAGCTGGCGTGTTGTGCGCGTGTCGGTCAAGGCTGGCGCATCAATGAGATGACGTCCGTTTGCGACATCTTTATAGATACCTGTATAAAAATTGTTTATCCGCAATGAATTCCTAAACTAATGAACTGATTTCAATGAAATCTTGAACAATGTGTGCAGTTTGCTCCATCTTAAGAGGTAGGATAGTTTTTATCCCGATAAGTGTGACCCTCAATATTTTTATTGCGAATTTATTAATTTTGTTTTATTGGACAAAGAGTCGTCGGAAAGGGCAGACCAACGTCTGCCTCGTCAGCCAGTAAGTTTCTAATTTAATCGCACACCATGATGATGACTGAACACACATCTATGGTGATTGCGTTATGTTATTTTTATAGAAATTACGAAAATTAATACAGTGTGTTTCAAAACTGGCGGGCCATTACATCACTCGAGTATTGTATAAATTAAAAATGACATTATAAACGCACTCATGGTTGTTAATCCATCCATTCATTACAATCTGTAAAAGTCCACTGCTGAATATAAGCCTCGCACATACATAGATATTTCAAAAGCTTAATAAAACTAAATAACAAAATATAACTTTAAGGTTTCTAAAGCAACAAGTGACACTGACAAAATCGGTCCGGAAAGTTAAAATTGAAAACTTGTAGAGTAAAATTACGGACAGTGCACAAGCATACACGATTGTATATATGTCGTAGAGTTATGATAAATCAAGTTTTTGATCAAAAACCTAGGCTTTTGATCAAGAAACGTAAAACGAAAGTTATTACTTAATCTTACCATTAACGTAAAAAATCCTGTTTTTTATCAAAAACCTGAACGTGTTTATGTTTATGATAAAATTTAAGCTCAGGTTAGGTTTGGTTGATTTTATCATCCCACCCGAAGGGGTTAGGTACCGCTTTGTTGTGGCGGGAGGACAAAGAGGAACCCTCTTGGCTGGCCCGATGTATAGGGCCGCCCCGAGATGGCCACTCCGAGTGGGCTTGGTAAGCCCACTTCGGATGTGTGTGGTGGTGGGCGGCGGTGAGCGGGGTGTTCTCTCCCCCTACCGCTGCAGCCGAGATGGAGTCGCGGGGAAGAGGAGTGTTGGTATGGCGATGTGCCACTTGCCCTATTCCCCGCGACTCTGATGGGGCAGTTGATGCGGTGGTGGTGAGGCTGCGGGGGAGAGGGTGTCGGTATTGCGAAGCGCTGCTCTCTGTGCCCTCGGCGGCTGAAACTTGGTTGGTAGCGGAGCCACAGACCAGATCCACCGCTGTGGTCGGGAAAGCTAGTGCTTCCGAGTGCTCGTTTTTCTAGCTCCACGGTCTTCGCGTATCGGTATATATAATATTCATTTACACAGTCGGAGTTAGAGTCCGCGGAGGAAGACGCGCCTTGTGTTCCTAGTGTGCCTTACCTGAGAAGGAAAGGGGGAGGAGAAGTTATCCCCGAGGAGGGGCTGCCATGGGGAGACCGGCGCTGATGAGGCCGCGGATGTGTGCGAAAGTGTTCCCGGTGCCCTGCTAATGTGCGGCGAACGTGTAACATCATGGAGTTTTGGTTTTCCCCATGTAAATAAAGGTTAGTTTTATCATAAAACTAAATCAGTCTAGGGTTTTGATCAAAAAACTGGATTTTCCCTCATAAACCTATGATAACATAAAGTAGTAATTTTTTCTTCTTCCTGTTCTTGACCAAACCCAGGTTTCATGACAAACCTGCGACATATACAAAAAAAAACCGGCCAAGTGCGAGTTGGACTCGTCGGTGCACGACAAATCCGTAGGTACATAAGTTTAAAGTTATTAAAAATATTTTTTTTTTATATGATGTAACTAAAAATTTATATTTTTCGCAATTTTTCCTTTATCTGTGCTATAAATACATTGCTTCGTACCAAATTTTAAGATTCTGAGTTCACGGGAAGTACCCTGTAGGTTTTGATTCCCTTGCGAATGTCGAAAATTTGCGGCATAAACGGTTGTATCTACTGATTGCGTTGGCTTAGAAGTTTGATTTTTTCACAGCTCTAAGAAACAGTACACTTGAGTATTTGATATGAATTTCAGCTTGATACCACCACGCGTTCCTGAGAAAAAGGGTCTTGACAGACAGATAGACAGACAGACGGACAACAAAGTGATCCTATAAGGGTTCCGTTTTTTCCTTTTGAGGTACGGAACCCTAAAAAGAGGCTGCTATGTTGGTACATAAAATAAATTATTAAATAAGACATTAAAATTTCATTAGTCAAACGTCATCCGTTTTGAAATCAGGTCCCTTCTGGAGAAGAAATTCAGACGGAGAATGGTTGTAGGTAAATTAGCAAATTACCGCCGTATAGGCCTCCCCATAGATTGCCTCATAGGGAGATATTTGTCATAGTTGCCACGTTGGGCAAGTGGGTTGCCAACCGCAGTTTTTATACTTTTAGTCGTTATTAGGAAGACGCTGCTGCCCATATCCTGATTTGTTTCCCTCAGTCACCTCTTACGACACACACGTGATAATATGGGATAGTGTAGTGTGTGTACTACACACACTACACTGTGGGGAGGAACGTAGAGTGGCAATGATATTCTTACACCGCCATTACACGGTAAACTAACAGGTACATAAAAATAATTACGATTTAAAATTAAT